TGGTGTGCTGCAGTCATTTGACAGGTGTGTTGCAGGCGTGTCTCTCGTGTGTTTTTGTCGTGTGACAGGTGTTGCGCGTGTGTTCAGTTGTGTTGCAGGCGTGTTGTTGGTGTGTTGCAGGTACTTTGTGTGTTGACCTGCAGGTTTCAGGAAAGTGTTTGTGAGTGTTTTTATTCCAAGCTGGCAATAATTTTAATGTCAGGATGTCTTCATACAGCGAGCTGCACTGATTGGTCATCAAGCTGTGGTTCACTTTCCTCTCTTGTGATTGGTTGATATGTTGGGCTGCTCCATGGTACACAGCCAAAGCTCCGTCCTGATGAGGCGTCAGCAATCAAAACACCACAGAGACTGTTAAAAGCAGCTCGTCATGTTTGCTCAAAGCTTGAAGCACAAATGTTTTGGTCCTTTTAAACTTTATCGTTTTGCTGTTGCAGGACGTCTGAGGGGGTGCACCCCCGCCTCCTGACTTCTGCTGCTGTCACTTGAGCATCCAGAGGCTTCACCTGTCCGTCGCAGCAGATTTTCACTCTGTAAAGATGTAAGTACGGTCACCCTTCAGAACCACGCTAACGTTCCTCTGAAGCTCTCTTGCTGCCAGCCAATCATGCGACAGGCTGACTCAGTGCTGAGCTCTAAGTGTCTGCTCACATTTGCAGCCTTTCATTTAATCAGAGCTCTGTGACTGTCAGTCCTCTGCATGCAGCTTCATCACATGAAACTCGCATGTGACAGTTTTCATGATTCACGTCACACGGTGTGTCTGCGGTCCACCAACAGATATACAACATTATAAAAACAGTCCAGAGCCTTCCTCCGTCGTGTCGTCATCATCATCTACAGTCTGTTTGTAATGATGAAGATGAGCAGAGATGAAGCATCAGTCCAGTCCTGTCGCTCACAGACTGCAGGAAGCTCGATGCCAAACGCTTCTCTTTGTGTATCTGTGTTCAAGACATGGAGGATGTAACAGCCACTCGTGGCTCTTTCCAGCACCTCCAAAATCATAGGAAGCAGATCTGTACCGGAGCCAGGAGCTGCTTGGCGAGCTTCCCCTCGTGTTCCCGGCGTGCATCAAATGAGAGGAGAACACAAAGAGCCGATTTCAGGCGCCGTGACATCAGGATTTCACAGAGCTTAACAGACGTGTCACCGTGCCGCCCAAATCTGAGGCCTGCAGATCGATTACAGCGTGGATTAGCTGTGAGCTCGCTGCACACGCCGTGCATTAATGCAACACACAGTCACAGGCCCAAGGGGGCGGAGCCTCCAACAACCAACCTCCATTCAGCCTCCATCGTCTGCTTTACACGATTCTCAGTTACCCTGCTCTACGGGATGGTACTTCACTACACACAGACACACACACACACACAGACACACACACACACTCACCCCAGTGATACCAGTCTCACTGAAAACTCTTTGGTGGTTCTGATGGTTCATCCTGCGTCACCGGGCCACAGAGGTGAGCCGCCGCTCGGGCCGGCTGACTGGTGATTTATGGGCGCACAAACAGGAAGCTGTCAACAGCTGATTCCTGTCTCCTGTCTCCGTGAGCGCAGCACAGCTCAGCTGACTCGAGGCACACAGACTGTAAAGTAAAGATGGATTCTGTGACCAACTCCAAATATAACTGTGAAAAAATCTGATTGGCTGCTGTTCAAATATCAGAAATGACATCAGCTTCCTTCCACTGACCGTCATGAAGGTCGAGCTGAATCTGAGGCCGGGTCAGCGCGCTGTGACATCACCAACATCAGTCTGAGCGCTCTCAGATGTCGGTGTTCAGAGTGGGGTTAATGTGGGTGGAGCAAGTTGATCTAACACCCACGTCACACAGTGTCAGCGTCACTAACAAGCCTGCGAGCTGCTGATGGACACTTGAAGCTGTGCGCCGCTGTGTCGGGGAGCACTGGCATGTTCACGTTAGCGTGTTCGCTCCCTCGCAGCGCCACGGCGCTGAACCAGATCGCGTGTGATCAGATCTGAATGTGGTCTTTGTGTAAATCAGTGTGCACGAGTGTGAAAGGTCATGTGCCCCGAGGACGACGATCCAGACAGCAGGACGGGGCTTGGATCACACGGGTGGAGGTGAAGTCCAGACCAGCACCTGCCGGAGGGGCCCTGTGGAGTCAGGGGGTGCAGGGTTAGAAGCAGGTCCTCCTTAAACGGCTCCTGTTGGCCGATATCGACGCGTTTAAACGGCTGGAGGCGGCGCCGGCGGCGGCGGCACAGCTGATGGTGATGAGCTGAGGCTGATTCACTGGATGAGATGAAAGCAGCTCTCATTTGTGCTCCTGTCTGCTTCTTCACAGAGGAGCTGCTGTTTCCTTGATACCTGCACCCAGCAGGAAATGTTGCCTAATTACCAGCAGTCACAGCACGCCGCCATGGTTTCCGTCCTGCGTCACGGACAGATGTGGCGCTGGAAGCGACCACAGCAGACCGAACGTTTATGTTTATCAGTGCTCAGAGGTCATGTGACATTTAGGGGATGTCACAAATACTCAACACCATCGTTACGGGGGCGTGGCCTCTCTGACTGACAGGTAGCTGCTGTCTGCCAGAACCCGACCTCC